GGGGTATGGTCAGCGCACCGACCAACCTCGCCTTTAATAAGAATAAATAAAAAACCACCGCCTCCGCCGCCCCCGTCATCAAGTGGTGGCTGAGAGCTTTGTCACGTGATACCCCGCAGCTGGCTCACTCACTCACCAGCTTCTCATGAGCTTTTGATCGTCTTCACCAATCACCAGGGATCAGCGGCAATTAGGAGAGGTCCCCACTTGATCTCGTAGAATGATGTAAGCGCGGCTTGAGGCCGTACACGGGAGGGGTTGAGCAGATAAGTGAAGGAGGGTGAGTGAAGATGGCGTAACGCCATCAAAAGAGTAGATTATCATCCAGCACACACGTCTATCTCACTCACTGTCAAAAGGTGTTCCATATCAACCGTCACCATGGCGCAGCGACCGATTAATATCCTGGTCATTAACCCTAATTCATCCCAAGACATGACCCATGGGATGGAAACAGCCGTCAAAGGCATGACCTCCAACGATGTAAGTCAGGCCGCCCGCTTGCGGTACCAGATAGCAGGCTTACTTCAACTCCCTTCCCGTCCCCAAGTCTATCAAAGTCTATACCTATACAGCCCCGCCAGAAAGTCCCCCCAGCATCGACAATGGCGAACACATAGAAAGCAGCACCGAGATTGTCCTCAAGGACCTCGCTCACTCTGGCGAGCTCGAGAAGTACGACGGCGTCCTCGTCGCCTGTTACAGCGTCCACACCCTCGTCGACCGCCTGTCCAGGCAGTACGGCGACCGCCTCGCCGTGACGGGCATATTCGAGGCGAGCATCCTCACAGCCACGGCGTTGCTGCCGCAGACCATTGTCGGGGCGCCGCCGAGCCAGTGGGGTATCGTCACGACCGGTTCGTTCTGGGAGAAGCATCTCGCTGACGGCGTGACGGGTTATCTGGGCCAGGTTGGCAGCGGCGGCAACACCAAGTTCAAGGGTGTCGTCTCATCGGGCCTGACTGCGGGTGATTTTCACCACGTGAGCCCGGAGGAGGTCAAGGCCAAGCTTGAGGAGGCGACGAGGAAACTCCTCGGCGATGGCGGCGTCAGCTGCATAGCGATGGGGTGTGGAGGCATGGCTGGGCTGGAGGACATTATTCGGTCCACGGCCGTTGCGCAGTATGGAGAGGAGAAGGGCGGCAACATCTACGTTGTTGATGGCGTCAAAGCAGGCATCATGCAGCTGGAGCAGACGATCAGGAGCAGACGGCTGTTCCAGCCGAATGAGGCGTGAAAACAGGGCTCGGTGCAATAGGGCTACTGCGTAGTTTCTTGATCAATCCAGAGAATAATTTATAGCTCACCGTCGCCTCATGGGCAGTCATTGTCATGGTGCGAGAGAGCGGGTGATTGGATGGTATTATTACCTCCACATCAAGCCTTGCTGTAAAAACCTTTCCGGTTGTGGCGCCCTCGGAGCCCATGATATTGGACTTGCGATCAATCACAATGATACGGACCGTGTTGTTCTCGAGCCACTGCTTAAGTTCTTTGACCTCACCATTAGTGAGGAACCAAGCTCGTTTTTGAATGGGCAGCTACTTACTGGCCAGGGCTTGATGGGACCCGGGGGGTAGCATCGCCGCCTTTGGTAGCACCCTTGGCGAATCAGAATGCCATTCCGGTGACTTGCACGAAGATACCTCCAGGACTGGCGAAAGTAAGGAGAAGTGGAATAGCAACATATTGCGAAGTGTCTTGTTGGCAGTTATCTGAAAGCCGAAGAAGACGAACTTCACATAAGGTGCTCCATAGTCATGTCACTTCACAGTGGGAAAAGATCTTTCTTAGACATGCGTCTGCTACTCCATGTCGGCACGCCGCATGAAATTGTCGTCCCCTTTCACAAGTGTGTGGGGTGGAATTGCAGGAGACTGAAACTGCTCAGCACAACGAGGGTTGGTCCTCGATTCCAAGCGAGATCGCCAAGTCATCGAGACACATGCTTGGCTGTATGTCCACCTTCTCAATCACACCGCAAGAGGCTCCGAGGATCTCTCCACAGCGCCTTCTAGAGGCTGCAGAATAGTCCAATGATGCGGCGATGAGGTATCCCGACAGGGATGACCCCGATCCAGCTGCTACCGCCGTGCGTTTGTTTCACAGACTTTACCACGCAGATTTACGTGGAAAAGCAACTGGTCAAAGCATTTCCGACAATGAGAGCACTTGACGTTTGACACTGGCGGCAATCATCAGCTTGATCAACAGGCCGGGTTCTGAGACGAGACCGTACCCTTACTCCATATCGCGGTTGATCTATAACACCAGTACTACAGGCCAACAAGAGCCGTAAAAAGCCTCTAGTCTGCTCATGGTTCCGACAGAGACAGTGCCAAAGTCAACAACCTCGCATAGGTCTATCCAAGAGACGAAACTGCATTGTATCCTACCGGTGAAATCTGCCCAAGCTCGCCATCCTATTCATTAAAAAAAGGTTGAAATCGCAAACCGGCTTGGCACGGTGGAAGCCCAAGAGAGACCCGATATTTGCTCCAAGGCCCATCAGAGAGTATGAAAAAGCCATCATGCCAGTCCAAAGACTATTCACGGTAGGTTGGTGTAAGGGAACCTTTGGCGGAGACAACAAGAACTATGCGCTATTACCAGGACGCTCAAGGACGAGAGAGACTGACGACGATTCCACACGGTGGTATAATGCTATCTACGTTCAACTCGCGTCTTGATATGCCTTTACCAAGATGAATCAGTATGGCGCAACCCAGCGCGCTCAGTCCAACCTCTGCGAGCGTCCCCAAACTTCATTCCAGTCCTTCTTACCCTTTGTCTCGGGTATCCTCCACACAGTGAAGAGGGCGAAAAGCGCGGCGAACCCGGCAAAGATAAAGTACACCCAGCCCGCGCCTCCGAGGGCGCTGTTCAGTGCCGTGTTGATCAAGGGGAAGAACTGCGCAACGAGGAAAGTAGCGACGTAGTTGGCAGCAAGGCACCATGATTGCGTAGCGCCGACGGCTTCCTGGCCGACGAGCTCCGAAGCAAGGATAAACGGCACAGGACCCAGGCCCACAGCGAAGAAGGCGACAAAGAAGGCAACAGAGATGGCGGACAGGAACTTGATGCCCAAACGGATTGACAGCGCAAGGACCAGGGCACTGGAGCCCTGCCCGATGATGGACGCGAGAATACAGGCCTTCCGGCCGAGACGGTCTGGCAGGGGAGCGCAGGCGATAGTCATAAAGAGGCCAATGACGGAGATGAGGATAGTCAACAGAGCAGAGCTGAATGGGAGAAGGTCGGCAAGCAGCGAGACGGAGTACATGATGACCGAGTTGATGCCGATCAACTGCTGGGCAAACATGACGCCAACGACAGCAATGATGGCCGGCCGGTAGAGGGGATCCTTGACGACCTCAAGGAAGCCAAGATGTCTTCCAGTTGTCCTGCCCACAGACAGTGGTGCCGAGTCGGCGTCTTCAGGCTCGGTCTGAGCCAGAAGTCCTTGTTGCTCTGCGCTGCGTCCTTCGCCGTCCCAGCTCTCGACTTCTTCGGCAATGTCAAAATCCTTACCACGGATGCGCTGCAAGATGCGGCGGGCACCATTCACGTCTCCGTTGGCAGCCAGCCAAGCCGGGCTCTCAGGGACGAAAAGCAGGCCGAAAGACTGGACCAGTGCAATAATGGCACCGGTTGCCAGGATGATGCGCCAGGAATCACCGTGACTCAGGAAGAAGCCGAGCGTCTGCGTCAAGAGAATGCCCAGGTTGATTGAAATCTGTGTCATAAAGCCGAACAGGCCGCGCTCCTTGGGAGGCGCAATTTCGCTGACATACAGAGGCACGACAACGGTCGCAGCTCCGGCTGCCGCACCCGACAAGAGGCGGCCGATGACGAGCAGGGCTACACTGGGGGCAATGGTCTCGAACGCGGAGCCGGCAAGGAAGACGAGGGCCGTGACACGCATAGCCGACAAGCGACCACGCTTCGAGGCGAAAGGACCAGCAGCCAGGGCCCCAATCAGTCCGCCGACAACGAATGCAGAGGAGACGGTCGAGAAGGCGGCATCATTCATAGGTATACATTTGGGGAGCAAACCCGGGTTCTCTGGCGGAGAGTTGTCGTGGCGGACTAGTCTTGCTGGATTAGAGTGCTGCGGTATGGCTCGCTTCTTGCAGGATATGACATCTTGAGGAGCATTGAGTTCGGCCTGGAGGGTAGACATGGTTAGAGAGCGGAGGCACTCCAAGGTGACTTGGAAGAGGAGGGGAGGAGGGGTCGAGGCATACAATATGGAACCCGAACTGAAGGGATCCCAATGTGGACACCAAGACCAAGAGGATCAGATACAGCGTGGTGTCGTGCGCGAGCTGTCTGAAACTGGAGGGGGCCATGTTGATTGTGTTGAGGTGAACACCGGGCAAGGTGCAGTTGGAGAAGGAAGAGCCGGTCAAGACGTTGAGGTCTGCGTAGCTTTGAAGGAGGCTCGAGGCGGGACCAACAGCATCCGTGTCACCGATTGGGACAGATCAGCTGTCGCCAGGTGGCTCCACCCCAAGGCTGGTGGGGGGGAGGCGAGTCCGGAGACGACTATCCGGGCCAGCGGTGCGTCAGCGATCTATCTCACTGTCGCACGGCAGGCAGCAAGCCTCGGTATGGCTGGTTGCGTGATTCTGAAGATGATTCATTCGATCAACGAATGGCCGTCAGAGTCGCTAGACATGGACCCCAGAACACCGAATACTGAAGGCCAAACGGGTGCCGAGAAAGCTTCCGAGGCGGGATCTTGCATCTTGTACGAGGTACTCGAATGAGAGCAAGCCGTGCGCTTCCAGTTGATGGGGACATCTGGTCAGCTTCGGCAGAGCTAAGACACGCGGATGGGCAGGTAGCGATAGCAGGGCTGACAGGGACCAGGGCCCTGTGGAAGCTCCAGATGCACTGGCTGTCTGGCGGGGTGGGGGCCAGCACTGTACTGAAGGGCCAGATCGCGGGGGTTCAGAGGCTCCGGGGCACGCCAGCGGAAGCCCCGATCCAGTACTTTTGAGACGTAGGGGTAGTACAGACATCAGCCATCAAAGCCGCAACTATAGCCACATATCATGTGCTGGTTCAAACGGCGACCTCGGATCGACGTGACTAGGCCGGGCGGCTGCCTGTGGCACTCACCGTCCAATCATGGAAAAAAAACGACGGCTGCCGTCTGGTTGAGGGTTTGATTGCATAACCCGCCCGCATGAGCAGCCGGCCAGCCAACATGCCAGCCAGCACAGACGTGCATATGCCTGGCCTGTTTGCTACCGCCTTGACATGCCGTTGATCGTCTCGTGTGTGGAAATCATAGGCTTGATCGTTCTCGCCACGCATAAAGCGCCCGTTTCCCACTTTCACAAGGCCCAGCACCTTGCCCAGACTCAGAGGCTAAAGTCAGAGGCAGCGAGGACATTGGCAGGCTATCCAGCTCTCTACGTGTCACCGACATCCGCTCGCCCTCCTTCGCTTGCTCTTGCTTGCCCTCGCCGCCTGTCTTTACTGCCTCTAGCGGCTCCTCTCGCTGCCCTGCGCCGCGTTCCCAGGACAGACCGAACCATGGCCTTCACGTATGTCCCTGGCACCTTTGACTTCTGGGCGGCGCGCCAGTCGACGCATCTCGTCGACATGCACGAGACAGCCTTCGTCCCTTTCAACGTCCACCAGGCTGTGGGCACGGCAGGGCTGGGATCCTGTTCTGTCGTTGCTATTGCCTCTGAGCGCGCCGTCATACTTGCTCACATCCCGCCGCTGCCGGACTTGCACTCGCAGCGACCCGACGCGGGTGACGCCAACGTGCGGCAGATGATGAAGCGAGTGCGGCGACTGTACCGAGACAACCGCCAGTTCTTCGACAATGCCGAGGGACGCGTTACTTGCGCCATATACGCCGGCGAGGTTGCGCTGCCGGACCAGGTAGCCATCATGCAGGAACAACTACGGCTATTGGGGTTCGAGCCGAGTACCGATTACTACCAGGTGCCAGCCGATGCAAATGTTGGCCGGGGCACCGTCGTCATTGTCGCGCCGCCACATCATCAGGGACAGGTTGGTGTCTACGTCGAGGACAGCCTGGTGTCGTCGCCTGCCTCGTCGCCGTCGCCCCCGCCGTCTGTTCCCACAACGTCGGGTGCGGCGGTTGCCAAATCGTCGTGGGACCGAGCATGACGTTGAAGTCGAGGTGTAGAGGCGGGGTGGTGAACACAGACGACGTGGTACGCCTAAAAGGTAAGTGTAAGACAGGCGGGGTTAGCAGCCAATGGAGGGGCGCTAGTACCCCTCCTCCCCTGCCCCTTCCTCTTGACCACGCGATTATACAAGCTCCCATCCACTAAACAATCGAGCAGGCACGCCCCGTGCGACCACCCCCTGGTCCCCCTTCGTCAGAGCCCTTCAGACCTTCAACGACATCCGACCAATACTCTACCAAACTGCATCTTGACATCGAGTCGTTATGCCACTAACAGTATCATTATTGATAGTTTCCTTTTCAGTCATACCCTGGATTGTTCTCAGCGGGCCCGTGAATGTTTTTCGTTGAAAAGTGTTGTCAGCCCAAGGCAGTCAGTTGTTGCAGTTTCATTTGGCTGTCTCCAAATCCATCGTGAGAGAGAGAGAGAGAGAGAGAGACTGCGGGCCTTCACAACCCTATGTACTTGCTACCCTCGTGAGTCCTGCTGTTCCATACACACCTTAGCTTGACATTCATGGTCACGGACATGGCTTACAAAAGGGGTTCAGACTTCTTGTGTTCGCGCGCCTCTTCATCGATGCATCATCCAAGCATATTCGCCAGCATTCGCTTCGTTGATCAAGAGCACCATGAGAAATTATTTGCAGTGATTCTTCTTGAATATCTGCATCACTCCGACAGGATTACACAAAAGCTGCAACTGACTACCGAGGGCGGTTCGCTCAAAAGCAAGATTGATTGATTGAACGTGCTTTGGGTCCTATCATCGCATACCATATGCCAAAACGCACCTCATAGCGATCAAATTTCGTGGGTCACCACCCTGACCAAATTCTTTGACTTTGACGGAAAAGGATCAGATCACATCCGATAGATCGAATCCTAGTGTGTACTATGATCATCAAATGTGTAAACAACAACATTGAATAATTCAGAAATGACCACTGCAAACCATGACTCCATTATTGACGTGAAGGGCGTGGGATTAATAAGCTATCATGGTCAAGATCAAGTCTAAAGCACGTCGTTGATCGTGGTCTGGATGGGCCTCATGCAGTGCGGTCATTGATACGATTTGTCAGAAACCGGGGGCTGCCAACAACAAGCGGGGAAGAACCTCATATGAGACCCAGCACTTCATCACTCAGTCACTCGACTGCCTTCCTTTTAAACCATTGATTCCCGGTTGTATTCACAGTGAAAGCCAGCATCTCTCGCATTGAAGGTCCAGCACTTTACTTCACATCTCGTACCATTGACGACGTGCACTCCGCAACTATGGCGCCATTCCAACCCTCCAATATTCTCATCCTGGGGGGTACTGGGAACATTGGGTACTACATCGCGGATGCCATCATTAAGGCGCAGCCCCCATTTGAACAAATCACAGTCTTCATTCGAAAAGACTCGTCGAGCAAGAAGCAAGCCTTTGTCAAGGCCTTTGAGGCAAGGGGCGTCAAGGTCATCATTGGTGACCCTGGAGACAAAAGTCGGATATTCAAGCCCTTTACGAGGGGCATCGACACGGTCGTCTCTGCGCTCGGCCGCGACGCCCTCGAGCGCCAGATCGCCCTCATTCGCGAGACAAGAGGCTTCTGAACTCGGTCAAGTGGTTCGTTCCGTCCGAGTACGGCACCGACATTGAATACGGCCCGTCGAGTGCCGCCGAGAAGCCCCACCAGCTGAAGCTCAAGGTGCGCAAGGCGCTCCGCGAAAACACCAAGCGCCTCGAACACACCTTTGTCGTGACGGGCCCGTACAGTGACATGTACTTCAGCCTATCGGACAAGTTCCCCGAAGTTGGCGGTTTCGATGCCGAGAGCAAGAGAGCTGTCCTAATCGAGGATGGTGAGGGCAAAATTGGTTTCACGACGATGCCTGAGTAAGAGAGACCGATCCCGTTGTGTTGAATCCAATATGAGGCGCGAGACTAATGAGCTCCGCAGTGTCGGAAAGGCTGTGGTAGCTGTCCTACGGCAGCCCAAGGCGTCGTTTGGCAAGGCGATCAAGGTGCAGTCCTTCGTGGTGACACCGAAACAGATCCTCGCCGAGTTTGAGAAGCAGACGGGCGGGGAGAAGTGGAACATATCCTACACGTCGCTGCAGAGCCTGAAGGAGGCAGAACAAAAGGCTTGGAGCCAGACGCCGGGCACCGCGACGCTGTACACGCTGGGTCGTATCTGGGCCGAGGGTGGCACTCTGTATGAAAAGACAGATAATGAGAGCATTGGGTTGAAGGAGGCAGAGCTCGAGACGCTCGAGGCGTCCGTCAAGCGGGAGCTGGCGACAGGCTGGACTCCAAAAGTAGTGGATGGGAAAGCGACTCTCCCGGTGTGAAGACTGTTGTATTAATCTAGTCATTTGATCACAATGTGTTTGGTCCCATATGGCTGAATGACAAGGATGGCTCCAGTATGTGTTCTTCACGAACGCTCTATGGAGATTCCATGGTCATTCAATTCAAGAAATTTCACTGAGAAGATACGAAAGCACTCTTCGCACTTCTAGGGCTTCTTGCGGTGGTGATGCCTTGCCTAAGGTATGAAGTGGTATACCACGTCGACTGGCACCTTGGTCTGAATATTGACCGTGGTGGAGCCCGGTAAGTCGGTGTGCCCCACTGCCCCACCATGCAGCTCAAGGTGAGCGGTGGCAGGGGTCTCAATCGGTGTCCTTCCCCAATCGCCCAAAACTTTTTTTTCTAGCAGGCGCAATGGGGAAAATCCCACGATCGTTCATTCTACGCCATCCCACCACGACCTGCTCACCCGCGAACCCCGACAACGATCGGCAATCCGTCCAGAAGCCATGGCATTAAAAGAGGAGCTTCCGGTGGCTTCCAGTCACAAGACGGAGAAGAAGCAGAAGAAAGAGAAAAAGAAGCGATCCCGAGAGGACGATCCTCTTGTGACAGACGAACGCAAGCACAAGCGATCCAAGAGCACAGCCAACCGTGCAATCTCACCAGACCTCTCGGCTTCTGCGAACACAGACGCCAACGATAGCGTCGTCGAGGTTGAAAAGCCAACCAAAATGTCGAAAAAATCAAAGAAGAGCAAGCAGGAAGACCCAGCAGATGCGGGGGACGCGGTGCAAGAGGTTGCCGACAAGAAGAAGCGACGCATGTCCAGGAGTCACGATGACGAAGACGATCGGTCCGAACTGAAGACCAGCACCAAGAAGAGCAGCAGTAAAAAGAAGAGCAAGAAGGAGGCCACGCCAGAGTCGTCCGAGGCCGACCAAGCTTCAGGATCCTCAGAAGACGACGAAGCCGAAAACCCCGACGTCATGGACATTGACACGCCTTTGCAGCCCAACCCTCCCAAGTCTACATCTAGGCTGCACCAGCCGCTCGATACCCCCGCCAAACCACGATACCCATTTTTCACACAAACCGTCTCCCTCTTCCTGCCCATCTACCCCATCGGCTGGGCTGGCCCCCTGCACCGCCGCTGCGACCCAGCACCTCCAGCCCATGGTCAACCGCTACGTGCCAGTCCTCGGCGGTGTTCTGCTCGGCTTCCGCAACGTCGCTGTCTCTGAGCGCCCCGGTCGTGAAGACGCGGCTACGAGTGATTCGGACGTTTGCAAACTTGGTGCCATTGATGAGTTCGCCGTCGGCTTCGGCTGGGTCACGGCGGACGTTGACCTCTTCGTCCCGAAGCGCGGCGCGTGGATGGAGGGCAGCATCAACCTCGAGAGCGAAGGTCACGTCGGCGTTGTGTGCTGGGGCAAGTTCAACGCCAGCATCGAGTCGGCGCGTCTGCCGCCTGCGTGGCGCTGGGTCCATCTTGGCACCGACGAGACCGCAGCGACGAGCGCCTACGACGACACCGTTTCCAACTTTACTGCCGAGGAGCAGCACGGTGCCGTGCGCCAGATTCACGCTACGGGCTACTGGGTTGACGAGGCTGGCCAAAAGGTTAAGGGTCGCGTGCGCTTCCGTATCAAGGCTTTCGATGTGGGCGTTAGCGGAGACCACGGCTACCTCTCCCTTGAGGGAACCATGCTCGACGCCGCTGGCGAGGCTGAGGCACGCCAGCGCGACGCCCAGCAGGAGCTGCGGCGGCGGAAGGGCAAGTCGGGCGGTGTGCTGCGCAAGGAGCGACGATACGTGCCCGACTTCAGTATTACAAAGTTCGGCGAAGTTGAGAACGAGGAGGAGAAGGCCTTGGCACAGGAGGTATGGGAGCACACCGAGCCGGCCAAGGACACCACCGAGACGGCGCAGGACGGCGAATACGCCGGGCTTTCGCACGAGGCCGCTTAGATGGCGAGGACCTCGCTGACGCTGCGGAAGAAATGATCGAGATTAGATGTGGGAACTGGGGGTTGGGGAGTTGGGCTGCCTCATTTCAGGCAGATACAAAAATGGCTTCGAGCGCAATGTAACCGTTTGTTTACCTCGTCTGAATATCGCATGACTTGGCCAGACGCAACTACGATGCGCCGTACTCATAGAGTTCATTTGTTGCGATGTTTGCGTTGCAGGCCAGCCACAAGTTGCCAGCCAATTGCGCTGAAGTCGGAGTGACCTGTTCTGTACAGGCTTCGGTAGAGGCTTCGGTAGCATTGGATTATTGATTTGTCGTGGGGCTGACCTGGCGACGTAAGACAGCGCTAGGGCTCGGGTTTCTTCATTACTGATCACTACACTTCGCAATGCTTGGCATTCGTGGCCCTTTAACAGCTTCTGGCACGAGGCTTGCACTCACGCAGTGAGCAAACGCCTCCTTAGGCACCCATTTAGTCAATCACGATGTTTTTCAACGATGACTCTGAAAAGCGTCGTCATCTCTTGCGCCGTGGCTTCAGCGACAGCCTGCAGCCATGGTATGCAACAAGACTCAGAAGCGAGCACATGCAAGGTGATGGCTCAGCTAAGTCTTGGGCCTCGCCTTGGGATCTAGACATGTTGACAGTTGGACCAGTCAACGACGGGCCATAAGGTGGTCTGGAAACTATATAAGAGCATCACCGAGTGCAGTTTCGTACAATGTTCCTCCCCAACCAGACAAACACGCATCAAACAATCTCATATTCTACTACTCACCACACTACAAGAATTTATCATGTCTACCAAGCTCGTGACCGTTTTTGGCTCCACTGGCGCGCAGGGCGGCAGCGTTGTTCAGGCCCTCCTCCGCGACAAGTCCGGCGTCTTCAGGATCCGCGGCATCACTCGCAACCCCGAGTCCGAGGCGGCCATCAAGCTCGCCGACTCGGGAGTGCAGGTTGTCAAAGCCGATGGCCTCAAGGGACATGAGCTCAAAGCTGCCTTTGAAGGCAGTTGGGCTGTATTTGCGAACATCAATTCTGATGATCCCGTAAGCCCTTCGTTGGTTGTTCCCGAAGCGAGTGCGGTGACTGACTAGGAGACACAGTCTATCAACGAAAAGGGGGGCTCTTCCGAGACAGACATGGGCAAAATCATAATCGACGCCGCCGCTGAAGCTGGCGCCCAGCACTTTATCTTCAGCGGCATGGCCTCCGCTGCCGAGACCACGAAGGGCGAGTTCCCGAACCAGGCCTTTGACGGTATGTGGACTCTTAAACGCCCCCCTTCTGTCCTCGCAGCATCAACCATCCTCTAACATAGGCCAGAGAAACATGCCATCGGGCAGTACGGCCGTGGCAAGTCATTCGTCTCCTTCACTGACGTCAGCCCAGGCTGGTACATGGAGACCTTCCTCTGGCCAGATATTGCTCCCATCTTTGGCGGATGGCCCTTCAAGGCCGACGACGAGGGGTATCTGACTTTCAGCTGCCCGCGCTGGGATGGATCGGACGACGCCGTGCCGCTGATCGCCATGGCCGCTGACTACGGCGACATTGTGCACGGCGTCCTGCTCGCGCCGGAGCGGTGGAACGGGCAGCTCGTGCAGGGCATCAGCCAGTCCCAGGCGCTAGAGAGCGTGATCCCCGATTACAAGAAGGGTGAGCACCACATCCACACATGTCTCAGGACAAATGCTCGATCTCTTGCCCATGCTAACGAAAGACGCAGTCACTGGCAAGAAGGCGCGCTTCCGCTTCATGGACAGCTGGGAGGACGTCCAAACGTACGGCGTGACGGCCCTTGTCACCGTGCAGCGCATGTTCGGTTTCTGCCAGCAGTCGGGCGGGCTTTACTATGGCGTACCCAACGACACGGCGGCCGCTGTCGAGCTGAAGAGGGCGGCAGCTGCGGCGCAGGGAAAGGAAGGCGAGGATGCCGAGTTGATGACCCTGGAGCGCTTCTTTAGACAGCAGTTTACCTAGTTGCTGGCCCTTTCTTCTTTGTGTCTAGGAGTTCCATCTCACGTCTTGTTCCGTTTCGCATCTGGCCTCGATGTGTATTCGTTTCCTCCGTTCAGGAGTACTACTATCTGCCTCATCTCCCAGTTGTGTTCAAGCCTAGGTTTTGCCTCGCCCTTATCAAGAACGCCTTACATTTGACAAACTTCTACACTGATCTCGTCATCCGCAATATATGCACGCGGTTTCGTCTGTCTGAACGTAGGCTAGTCGGCGGCAATTCGTCCAAATGACAGATTCCACCCACGCGCGATAAGTAGTGATCCGCGAGGTATCTGTCTGCAGGGTGTATGAGAGCTTTGAAAGGGGAACAAACATTAGAACTTGATATATCCGTACTCATCTTACAAAAGTCTAATTCTATAGGAAGCAAGTCTTTCACCAGGACGCCGCGCTCAAGCCAAATCTTCCGAGGGCACTGCCATCGCCGCCATCACCGCCATCAAACCACGACTCCAGCGTGTCGAGGTTGGCAAACTGCTGCGCAAACACCATTCCCTCGCGCCTTCTGTTCTCGACCATCTTCCAGTCCCACGAACCATCGTTGGCGACCTCGCCGAGATCCTCCTCGTCGCCAACGCCGTGGGTCGCGCGCAAACCTCCGGCCCTCGGATGCGCGGCAGTAGCCTGCTGCTGTCCAATGATGTAGCTCGGTGTATTGTCACCTGCGAGCTTGAGACGTATTTACTGACGGCAGTAGCGTAGAATCTTGTGCTTCACCGCATTGGCTTCTTTGCTGTCGGGACGGCCCTTGCGCGTGCGCGCGCGGCCCAAACTTGGTGTCGAGGTACTCAGAGGGGCGGGCGATGCCCTTGGGCACGAAGTGGGTGACCATGTAGAGCCACTTGCGGTCCCAGGCGAGGATGCGGGTCCACATTTCATAGGGCGCATAAGCCGTGATCTCGCGGCGGAAGGAACAGTGGACGGCGCCGAGCATGATGCCGAAGTTGCCGCGGCGGGGCTTGCCCGTGATGTCGTCGATGATGACGCCTGTCTTCGTGTTGTGCGTGAGCTTGCGGAAGCCGGGGCGCAAGAGGTGGGAGGCCATGTGGGAGCGTGCAATGTCCAGGTCGGAGAAGTACGTCGAGTTCGACTTGTGGATGTTGTAATCGATCTCCGTCAGGGGAGCGTGTGATTCGGAGATCAAGGGGCGGAAGAGAGAGCGCGGGCCGAGGCGGGGAGCCTTGCGCATGAAGCAATGGTAGAGGATGGCGTGCCAGAGACGGATCTGTCAAGCAAGTCAGGGGGTGACGCAGTCAAGAGGGAGCGGGGAGCGGCGTACGGTCCACATGCCAGGCAGGTTCTTGAAGTTGAACAGCGCGAAGATGAGCATCAGGATGCGGCTGATGCGCCCTGGACCGGTGAAGAAATCCTTAAGAACAGTCCTCCACTGGATCTTGTAAGCTGCAAAGGCAGCGCCGCCGTAGATGGAGAGACGGAGCAGGCGGATGACGCGCTCAGGTATACGATCGAGCTCGGCCACAGAGGGCACCATTTTGGAAAGGGCTGCCATTGCAAAGGCAATATCGAAGGGCTGAAATGCAAGTCGTAACGGGTTTGTCGATGTTGGCGATGCTGATGCTGACGATGCTACCTGTGGAAGGACTTATTTTCGTGGGCTGCTGGGTGTCGGATTGGGCGCAGGGTATCAGCGATGCGATGACGAGCTGCGCCTAAAAGTATGATGAGGATGGCGACAATCCAGAGCGATACAGCACGAAATATGCAGAAGGCGATGCTGGAACACTTTGATGCGATGGAGTAAGCAGCGGCAGCAGGCGGGCTGACCATCCGAGGGGCAAATGAGGTGTTATCAGAGGCCGCTCCTCAGGCTGTGGTTGAAGACATGAATGCGAATGTGAATGTGAAAATGCCGAACCGAGGCACTGGTCCGTGGAAGATCCATCTCGCGTCTGGGCATTTGACAGCTTTCCGATAAATTTGTTGGGTAACGTCGCGGGATCGCGTGGAGCGCAATGTCCGAGTGCCTGTTGTCCCTGACCCTAGGTACCTGATTAGGCACGTTTGGCAGGTACGGCCTCTTGGGACTTGCCTCCCTCAGCACGCGCTAGCGCTGAGTTTCCTTGGGAAGGTGCTCAGGGGGGGTGCTCAGGAAGGTGCACCCAGCACCCGGGCAGGTGCATCCAACGTCTGTACTTGCCCTCGATTACGGCTAGCTCCATCGCCATTCTGCCTCGCGTCCCCATTTTCTCCCGTGCTTCTGTGTGCAGATGGCCTCCGTTGGAGTCTTCAGTTGCTCCGAGTCTGAACATCCTGTAGCTCGTTGGGTAGATGCCGACTCGTCGCCTCGACCGCATCTTCTTCACCAATTCCATCCTTGATCAACGGTCTGATGGTCGCATCCAGGTTACCAGACGACAGCTTCCTGCCATCAGAAGGTCACATGGCGCGCCACTACACAAGAACACACAAGTGGCCGTCCATGTGGACCTGACCAGCGATGTCATGCAGTACCACAGTTCTATATGCCCTCTACACGATGACGGCCACAATCGAAACTAGCAGATTTTCGTGAAGCAGAAGTCCCGAACATCTGTCTGTCTGACGATCCAACGGGGGCTGTCTTCCCAGAGAGACTTGTTCAATCTTCGTCTGGAAAGTAACTCGAATTTTCATGGATTCAGCATCCTCATCTGAAACCCGTCATCTGCAGGCTCGACGTCGCATGGTCCGATGCATTGGGCTGGGGCACCGTCTCTTTATACAACGACATCATGACGACCTGCGAAAGGCAGATCGTGTAGGAATGGGTTCGTTGGAGGCGCAGCCATAACGCCAAGGGTTAATCTCCCGCACTTCCGGGACCCGGAGTACGCATTCGTCCAAACCCCACCACACCCCTTTGGCGCCTCGTATCCCTTTCAGTGAGCTGACCGCTAGGCAGCTATGTCATGAACCTGTTCTGGGGTGTGGCACGGCACCAAACTTGGCTGATCGCATCGGATCTCGTGTTTTTCCCCCTCCAGATCTGCGGCTTCCTCACTCGTCACTCGAGACCTCGCACCTCCCCATTGCACCTCTTCAACGCTGTCGTCCGCTCTCACTCTCGACGCTCGTTCCCCATCTTCAACGTCGCCAGGTCAATTCGACACATTCGCCTTTCCTCCGCACGTCACGTCTCAGCACCGAGGGTCACTCGCTACGCCCTCATCATGATGTGGCAATCATGCCTCAGTCTGGGTCTTTTGACGCTCTTCTCCTCAGCGTCTGCAGAGAGACTGCTTCGATCCAATTCCCTTGATTCTTGTCAGAAGGACTCCAGTTTCTCCGCGAGTCTCTTCAATGTCGTGTACACGCCTGATAACAACACCATCTTCGCCCAGCTGTCTGCCATGTCGACAGTCAACGACTATGTCATCGCCGAAATCGTGCTTGACGTTTACGGCTATCAGGCTGTGCATCAAAATTTCGACCCTTGCACGCTTGAGGACATGAAAGCCACCATCTGCCCCCTCACCGTTGGCAAATTGCCCCCCCGGTTCAACTTTCGGGTTGGTGACAGCGTCAGCAAGCAGATCCCCGGCATTGCATACGCCTTCCCCGACCTTGACGCCAAAGTCCGCGTCCATATCAGGAGCACACGAACTGATGAAACCCTCGCTTGCGTCGAGGCCAAGTTTTCCAATGACAAGACGGTCGATCTCGTCGGTGTCAAGTGGGCCACCGCTGCCGTAACCCTCGTCGGCCTCATCACGTCTGCCCTCATGTCCGGCGTCGGCTACACCAATGCCGCTGCTCACTTGGGCGCCAGCACCTTGTCATTGTTCGCATACTTTCAAGCTCAGGCCATGGTCGGTCTCAGCGGTGTGCCTCTGCCGCCTGCCGCCCACGCTTGGACGCAGAACTTTGTCTGGTCGCTGGGTCTGATCCGCATCGGCTTCATGCAGACCATCTTCACCTGGTATCAGCGCTCAACAGGCGGCGACGCGGCCGGGCTCCTCGACAATGCACTAGGTGCATCGGTCCAAGTGATGAAGCGATCTTTGGACCCGGCAGCTGGCGGGCTCCAGAAGCGAAGTAACGTCATGCTGGACACGGGTGCCTATGTCGTATACGGCATCCAGCGTGTGGGTTACAAGGCACACATTGAGACCACCAACATTGTCATGACCAGCATTGTCTTCAGTGCCTTCCTGGTGCTCATCAGCGCCTTGTTCGTCTACCTTGCTCGCCTAATCCTCAACTTCTGCGTCAAGCGGGGGTGGGTCAAGGACACCCGGTTTCCGGAGCTGCGCGGAGGCGGCTGGCGCATGCTTCTCAAGGGCATAACTCTTCGCATGCTGCTTGCTGTCTTCCCCGCCATTGCCATCTTCTGCTTCTGGGAGTTCACCCAGGCCGATTCGGCAGCCATCGTTGTCCTCTGCGTATTCCTCTTGTTCGGCAGCATGCTCGTTCTTGGCGTGGCGGCGGTTCGAATCATCACCATCGGAAGGAACTCGAAAGCCGTGCATCGGTCTGCTGCGTTTCAGCTCTTCTCTAACCAGGAGTATCTCCAGATTTGGGGTTTCCTCTACGTTCCATTCCGAGCAACGGCCTACTATTATATTCTGCCTCTGCTCGTACACACGGTCGTCAAGGCGGCTATCATTGCCTTTGGACAGCACAATGGCGTTGCGCAGGCGATTTGCCTGATCATTGTCGAAGCCGTCGCTCTGGCTGCCGCAAGCCTTCTGCGACCATGGATGGCCAAGAGCATCAACGTTCTCAACATTGCCATCTGCTCCGTTAACTTTGTCAACGCAATCTTCCTCTTCTTGCTCACCAATAAGTTTGACGCCCCGGGTCTCCTCGTTGGCGTGGTTGGCATTCTCATCTTCCTCGTGAATGCCATCTTCTCCCTGATCCTCCTGTTGCTCGTCATTATTTCGAGCATCATGGCTTTCTGGAGGAAGAACCCTGACGACCGCTACCGCGCCATGGACGACGACCGTGTCATGTTCTGGAAGTCGAGGACGAGCATGGTGCCCAGCATGGTGGCGACTCAGGAATTGGAGGCGCTGGCTGCGACAGCCCGCGGGGCGAAAGACAGCCAGGAAGGCTCGCACCGGATCGAGAGTCCGCCCTTGACCCCAACCATCGGCGCCCGCCCCGGCTCGCGTCGTGTAGACAGTCCCGCCCTCAACGAACGGTCAAGTAGCGTCCATGACTCAGTCAGGGATGACCAGCATGCGGCTCCGCGAGCCCCCTGGAAGCGTAGCAACAGAGACAGTGGTATGACGGAATAAGATGGGCGGCGCTCGGGTTATCTCCTTGGAAGCTGTGGACATGTTGGCCTGGGTACCGGCAGCGGGCTCAGCAGCGAGCCCGCTGCCCCAAAAGACGCATCTCGCTACCTAATGAGAATTTCGTTCTGTGTTCAATCACCAGCAGCTCCCGCGATGCTCCGAGTCGTCCATGTCGGCAAACCCCAAATGATTATTGTAGGGTGAGATACACGTGGATGATGCTGGCTGACATGGAGGCGTGTAGTGAGGCTATGGGGCGCACCTGGAATACGCTGGGTCTCCTGTTTATTTGCCGCATGAGTCGATATCAACACTAAGGAGACAGCCCAGCGGAAATCCTCTCGGGTTTGGAGCTCGATGTCTTAGTAGGCCAGCTCCGTTCAAGTGCAAGGGCGAAGCAGGTGCGAAGTGCCGGTAGCCAGAGCCCTTGCAGATGGACATCGTAACCTGACATTCTGTAAAAGGGGTTTTGGCCAGCGTGACTTGACGCAGGAGCTGGCCTGAGCGACATGGCCTGGCAAAGCTAAGACTGAGGCAGGGAGGTCCGGATCGCGTTCCGGCTTTGGTCTCTATCCTCGTCAGACGAACTCGATACGCAACTAGGGCTATAGAGTTGTGCGACCCGCGGGTGAAGAAGGCTTGCCCGCTGCATTGATTTCGTCTTGCTCGTCGGCAATTCTGCGACAGCAAGCCCGGACCATGGACACGATGATGATAAAGCACATGGCAGATGGAGTGCGACTCTTCGGGCAAGTCTTCCTAGCACGCGACGTGGCTCGGCGTGGGGTTCCGAGTCGCAGACGCTGGGCTGGTGGGGGAGCCCCCCCTGATGCCGTGCCGGCTGGCTCACTATACATGTATGTCGGCAGGTATCGTCGCCTGGCGGTTCATCCTCCAGCTTACAAGTACCGATCAAAAGCAACCCAGTCGGGACCCCTTGCTGCCCGCTCGAGTGGCTCGCTCGAGTTCGCGAGAATAGCAGCCGACGGCATTGCTACTCAATTCACATTGGCCCACGGATGGGGAGCGAATCGGCCCAGCAGCGTGACGGCTCC